CAGAACTTTTCATCTTAGGTGTTGTCAGAAAAGGTGAGTGGAAAGTGACAATAAGAAAAAAATTTTTAAATGTCACACTAGAACTAGAAACTCTTTAAAAAGTCTCTGTTTTTCTGCCTTGATATTGCTTTACATGTGGATTTATCTTTCGTAAAAGAGGAGACAAGCACACAATTAATCAAAGACAGAAATGAAAAGTCGTGCTGTCTAGCTTTATTTCATTAGGGAACCATTTCCAGCAGTGTTTATTTTGGCACTGCTAGCACCTGTTGAAATGAATTTGAATAATAAAGGTAAGATCTTCAGAGGACATACTCCTATTTTTATGCTGAAGAAATAAATATAGGAACAGGCTGTAACATCAAGGTATGAATATGTGTGCGTGTGCGCGCGCGCGTGTGTGTGTGTGTGTGTGTGTGTAATAAAGTAAATAGCAGTTATGACAGGATCAGAAACCTATGAATTAACCTGAGATAATACACTGCAAAAATATAAAGAGCTATACACATCCAAGCTTTTGCCATTGAGGTTGTTTACAATAAAATGGGCTGAAATGGATGCACGTCAGGAGGAATTAACACCCTTTTCACCTAAAAGTTGTCACTATTTCACCCTCCAGCATCTAAACACATTTTGTGCCTGCGAAATTCCCCTCCTTGAGTTTTAGTCACAGGTAAAGGCCACTTCCCACCACCCAAGCTGAAACTGCCAGATACTCACTCTCACAGCATCATTTGCAATTAATATTACAGGCCTTATCAGTTCCATATACCCGCTCCAAACAGGAGACACAGAGGAGCAGGAACAGCAGGAAATTTTCTCCAGCAGCAGCATCGGTGGCACCCAGTACTGAGGGGCTCGCAGCAGCCAGTGCCAGGTACGGAGCATTCTTGTACAATGCACAAGCTGTACAATTCAATGCTTGGTGTCCGCCCCATGGCAGTGTCCTTACTGGACCAACTTGGTGGTGGTGTAATTTTGGATTGCTAGGATCTAGAGAATTGGGCTACCTGATATCAGTGGGGATATCAGAATCCAACCCTCTTGGTATTTCTGTGAGTTACCCCACATTCTCCTAAATAAGTTCTTTTCTAAGTCAAAGTGAGTTGGTTTATTTTTCTTGCAATAGCATCCTAACTGGTATAGGAATGGCTGCAAGCAATAGACCCCAGAGAAATAGGGTGGAATCTGCGATTGATTACATGACATGGTCAGGATAAAAGTCAATAAAAATCTAGGTAGGATTGAAGGTGGTGGGTGAGGAGCACTCTGACCTTCTCAGAATCTGCAGAGGTGAAACAATTCATTTCATTATTTCCCCATCGGGAATGAAATGCCCACAGAGTGGTTACTGCCATAGATCAGGATTTCTCAACTTCAGCACTATTGACCTTAGGAGCTGGACCATTCTTTGTTGTAAGGGCTGTCCTGTGTGTTCACTGTAGGATGTTTAGTAGCATCCCTGTCCCTGCCCATTAAATGCAGTAGTATCCCCTCCCACAGTTGTGACAACCAAAAAGATCTCCAGCCCTTGCCAAATGTCCCCTCAGGCACAAAATTGTCCCCAGGTGAGAATCACTGCCATAATGGAGCATGAAGTAGCTGATAAATTAAAGGACTTTGGGGGTGGATAGCTTAATAAAGGAGAATGACAATCCATAATTCTTAAATTCTCAGTTCAAGGGATGGAGAGAAAACCAGGGAATCCATCCAACTTTGCCAAGACTCCTTTACTTGTTACAGCTGCCAAACGATGAGAGCCAAAGCCCAATTACAAACTTGACCTTCACTCTGTCACTTGGCTCCCAACCGAGCAGAGCCACTGGTGCTGAGAGAGCTGCAAATGGGGAGGCCATATGGAACCGGTGGAAGCTTCTCCTGAAGGACTTACTACCTCAGATGCTGAGAGGTGCCTACAGAGAGCCTCTGTCGGCCCTCTTTTGGAATTGCCTCAACTGAAGAGCTTCCCCAAGTCTTCCCCTCTTCCAGGGTAAGTCCACATCCAATGACTGATGATACAAGGGTATAAATGCCCAGCTCTCAAACCTCAAATTCTACAATTTTGAAGGGCCACCCCAGCTTTCAAGTGCTTTATGGATTCAGTGGAGGCTTTAACTGAGATTGAATTGCAGCCAGAGGTGAGCTGGTAAGTGGGCTCTCCAGGGGAGGGACAACAGCCCTGATTTATAGCATCTGCCAATTTCCATGCAAGCTAGCCCCAGCATACCACTCATCACACCCCCAGGTCTGTCTCAGCCCCTTTCTGCTTTCTTTCTTTCTTATCTACAAGTGGTAATCCCAAGACCATGCCCTGATCAAACTTCTGTACGCCAATCATTGTCTATCTCGGAGTCTGCTTCTAAGAGAACCCACCCAAGAACAAATGGTGACTCAAGACTGGTGGACCCCCTAGAAGGAAGAGTAAGCTCCCATTATGGAGAGAAAAGAGTTCCCTGTTTAAATCATGAAGAGCCTTGTTTATCATACAAAGTTGTTTTGAATTTATCTTGTAGGCAATGGGGAGACAGTAAAGGGCTTTAAATAGGGTACTAACAAGACTTGATATTTACTTTATGAAGATTTCTCTGGAAGCAAAACACAAAATAAACTGGAGTGGCAAGAGATTGTTGCAATAGTCCAGTTGGGACAGAGACAGTGGGGATGGACAGAAAAGCCCACAATAAATTGGGAGGATTTGGTGACTAATTAGATGTGATGGTGGCAAAGAGAAAAAAACAGTGAAAGATTAAGTTAAGATTACTATTTGGGAGACTAATCAGAGTAGTACATGGAAGAGAATATTATTAGGAGGAAGATACATTTTCAACATGTTGAAATTAAGGTTTACATACCCACATAGGCCATCAAGGTGGAGCTATTCAGAAGGGATATATATATATATATATATATATATATATATATATACACACACACACACACATATCTCACATATATCTTATGCATACATATATATTATGTATTATATAATATCACATCACTTATTTTCATACCCTATTTCAAAAGAAGGCTGTATAAATACATACATTATAGCAGGATAGCAATAAATAGATGAAATAAATACATGAAAAATTGAGGTGACGAGAATTAACACAGAGGTGAAGTTAATACACAACAGGAACAAGGCAGACCCTAAACAACAACTACAGACAAGTCACCAAATCTGCCCTGAAGTTCCTAGTGGCAAAGCAGAGAGAAACACAATCAAGTAAGTTTCATTGAGACCCACAGTTAAAAGCAAGTTGGTGGCTTTTAACCACCCATTTCTGGGTACTGAGATCTGAAGGGAAACATCTTCCAGGACTAACTAGCCATTGAATATACAGAAAAGGAGGCTAAGAAGTGAGGCCAATGATGGAGACGGAGAGGTGGGAGTCGGGGGGTGGGGTGCTGGTGATGAGTGTAGGCACAAGGAAAGTGTGTGACATGACAAGAAAAAGGACCAAAGATGGAACCCTGGGAACACTGACATTTTTAGAGGAAAGCTGGAGAATCAGGGAAGGAGAAAGAGCAGAGAAAATTAAGCCCCCCAAGGAATCCAACCGTATGAATTGCAGATATACTGCTTGGGAGGACTTGCAAGTGTGTTTTATAATTTCATTGTCTACTTCAACGACAACAGAAAACTTAGTCTTGAAATATACCAATAATAGCCTTCAAGTGCTTGCCTGGAGGGGAGGGGAATGCAGCAATCTCTTATCTTTTCAAAAACACAGATAAAGGCCACTGTCAAAACATAACCCAAAATGAAAAGGAATATTAAGTTGTATCAGTGATGTCATGGTTATTATGATCTGACTAAAGTAATGTAACTGATAGTAGCAGAGTATCTACACAAGACTTTGTAGTTTCTAGCTGAACTCTAATTTTAAAGTAAAAATCACAATTTATATTCACTTCAGGAATAACTGAGTCTTCAGAAAAGATATAGATTTTTGAAGAATAAGTTTCTCTCAACATCCTGTCTTAAGAGTACAAAAATTTGTTCAGTTTTTTTGGGGTTTTTTTTGTAAGTTTTCCTTGAAAATCGATTCCTCTCTCTATCCTACCAGAACAAAAGAATCACTAGGTTTACCTATGGATTAGCTGATAAATGAAATCAGGTCATCTCTGCCCTGAAGAAACTTGAGACCTGCTTACTCTCTGAGACTGAAGGCTTGAGAAAATGAGTTCGAGAGGCAATTGCAGATGCTGCTTTTCTTAAGGGGGAGGAAGTGAAATACCATGAAACGCAAACAAATAATGTAAATAGAAATTATGGAGTTCCCCCTAATTAAAATAATTTCTAAGTCTTCAATCAATGGAAATGTCACGGGGAAAAAGACACTATATTTTTACATCATTATTTTAAAAGGAAATAGAAAATAGAAGTAGGCTGTGCATCTTGATGAGAAAGGAATGAACAGATGTAAAACGGGCAACCATATGAAAAGCCCATTGAAGAGAAGTGGATGATTAATATATACTATAAACAGGTTGGGACAGCGTGATTTATGTCCAACTCAGAATGGAAACCTACGATGCAGAAAATGAGGTTAAAATGAAAAATGTAGGAATCCTGACAAACGACAGAATAAGAGATAATCTATGTTTTAAAGCAAGGGCGTAAATTAAAACGAAGAACCAAAATTCTTCTCGTAAAGAATCCAGGAGCCTACTGACAAGTGTGGACGAGTAAGCTGAGTTGGAACTCTTCCTTAGAGAACTTGGGACTTTCCTCCATCCCGAGACAATCCATAGATCTGTAATGAAATGTGCGTTTCTTAGTAAGATGATGATGCTATACTGGTAGCAAAGAAGATTTTACAGACCGGGGAAGGGCAGCCATTTGTGGTAGACACAGGAATGACTTAGGGTTCTCAAGGAAGTAGTCGCACTCAGATGATGAGCCATTGTGTTAAGTAAAGGCAAACTAGAACCAAACTTGCTATTCGACCATATTCTAATAATATTATTAATAATCAAAGTGAAAGATCACCTACCAGGTGCCAGACAGGGTTGTAGGTATGTATTCCCTTTGTACAGAGAAGAAACAGGTTCAGAGTAGAAGGACAACTGTAAAAGAATAAGGTGAATTAACATAGGGCTCAGGCTTCTGATGTCCTGATGAGAAGAGCACAGTGTGCCTCATAATTCTACAGTATACGTTAGTTGGGGGAAAGTTGTGTTTTCCTACACTTAGAAGAAAAGGTATCTCCATTTTCCCTATTTCCACTTCTCAAGATCAAGGCCTCAAGCTTGCTGAAAACGTCATTAAATGCTACAAGTTCATTATGTGAACACTTTGTTAGCACAAACTTTTTTTTTTAATCAAAAGCAGCATCGGATAGGTAGTTCATTTCTTCAATATATTTATGGCTTTTTGTATTTCATTTTGGATTTTTTGTAACATACAATTTTATTGAAGAATATATATTACACAGAAAGTGCCCACATAAAAAGTGTCCAGTTCAATTAATTTTCACAAAATGAACATACCTATGTAAAAAATTTTCAGATAACAAAATGGAACGTGAACAGATCCCCAGAAGTCCTCTTTGGCCCACCCCTGTCACTAACCTTCTCTTGAGGGTAACAATCATCTTGAGTTGTAATACAATAAATTAGTTTTGTCTGTTTTTGAACTTCATATAAATGGAGTCACAAACATTTACAAATTATTGTAAAGAGCTTCTCTCATTCAATATTGTATTTATGAAATTCATTTGTATAGTTGCATGTGGTTTGTTGTTTGTTCATTCGCATTGATATGTAGTATTCCACAATTTATTTATGTATCCTACCATTGATAGGTATTTGTTGGTTCCTTCTATTCTTCAATTTTGACAGGAAAAATGCTGCTATGAATATTTCTATGTATCTTTTTGGTGAATTTTGGAATTATTCAGATTCATTGTCTATATTTTTAACTTTGAATGGAATTTTAAAGTATATTATTTCTCTCTTTTCCTTATTAGATGTTTGGTTAATATTTGTGAACATCCACTTTACTAATTTTATGTTACATTTTTCCCTAACAGTATTTCCAGTAATTGCCTCAAGAAATGACAAAGCCTTAATTAAGTTCCTCGAACATGTCACTTACTGTAGGTTACAGGAATTCGACAGTAATTAAATAAGATGCCACTATAGACTTCTATTGATGGACATATGGCAGACTAGGTTCACAACCAATGAAAAGTGCTGGATAATATTTATCTTTTAAAAATCTTCTTAAATGTGTTGACAAACTGGCTAGAATAGACTGTAAGGAACACTCAGATTAAAAACCAAAGGGGAGCATATGGAGACAGAGAGCATTGATGCTGCCTTCATCATGAGGGAGGGTACTGAACTGGGTGAACAGACGCTTAGATATGCGCAGCTTTCTGGGGCTGGGGGAGCGGAGATAAAACCCAGCGCCTGAACAGAGGGTAAAGCTAAGCCCCAAAGGGTACCCCCTTAGTGGAAGGATGAGCTAGAAATAACCCCTATCTCCCAGAGGATTGCAAAGATAATTGCCAATGAGTGGAAGAAGAAAAACAACAAAGTTGTCATAAAAAATATCCTCATGCTAGTCCATAAAGCAAGGCTCAACAAGCTACAAAGGAATGGTATTAGACCACACAGCTTAGAAACCAACAACAAAATAACAACCAGAAATATCCCACATTTAAAAATACAGAACTATATACTTCTAAGTAACCAACTGTTTAAAGAAAAAATTATAACAGAAATTAAACAATATTTAGAACTAAACAATAATGAAAATTTTATATAACAAAGCTTTTGGTACGCAGCTAACACAATAATTAGAGAGATATATAATCTTTGTTGCATCTATTAGGAATAAAAGAAAGGCTAATGTTAGTGAACAAAAAAATTCAACTCAAGGAATTATTGTTTTGTTTTTTGTTTTTTTTTTAGCTGAGCCATCCTGCTACCTGTTGGCAGCTCAGCGGCTGCTCAGCTCGGGCTGGACTCGAACTGCTGTTGCTCAGAGCTCAAACTCTTGAGCGAACTCTTAACCAACTGAGCCACTCGGCCGGCCCTTCAAGGAATTATTATAGAAAAAAAAGAGCAAAATAAATCCAAACAAAGATGGAAGTAAGAAATAATAAAGACAGAAACAAATTAAAATCAGAAAACAAACTTACAATAGTGAAAATTAACAAATTCAAAAGTTGGTTCTTTGAGATGATTAAATTGACAAGCCTCTGGTAAGACTGATAAAGAAAAAAAATACAAATAAACAATACTAGGAATAGAAACATAACTACAGATACTATAAACATTATAAAAGGATATTACGAATGACTTTATGCCAATAAATTTTAAAACTTAAATAGGCAATATATTTTATTTTATTTATTTTTTTATTTTTTTATTTTTTAGCTGAGTCATCCTGCCACCTGTTGGCAGCTCAATGGCAGCTCAGCTCGGGCCGGACTCGAACCGCTGTTTTGCTCAGAGCTCAAACCTTTGAGCGAGCTCTTAACCAACTGAGCCACTCAGCCGGCCCCAGGCAATATATTTTAATAAAAATCTTTAAAACAAGATAAAATAGACAAATTCCTAGAAAATTATAACTTACCAAAACTGACTCTAGAAAAAATGAGCTATTTGAACCCTTCTAAAGAAATTGACATGGGGCCGGCCGAGTGGCTCAGTTGGTTAAGAGTTCGCTTAAGAGTTTGAGCTCTGAGCAACAGTGGTTCGAGTCCTGGCCCGAGCTGAGCAGCCACTGAGCTGCCAACAGGTAGCAGGATGGCTCAGCTAAAAAAATAAAAAATAAATAAATAATAAATAAATAAATAAATAAATAAATAGATAAATAAATAAAATAAAATAAAGAAATTGACTTAATGGTTAAAAATCTTTCTGCATGAGAGATAATAATAAGTTCTTCTTTAAAACCTTTACATTTTGGGGTAATTTGTCACACAGCAGTAGAAAACCACAGCAGTATCTATCTACATTTTTTATAAGGCTTCAATATAAATTTGAACAGACTAAATATTTACTGCTATTAAGGAATTATTATTAATTTTAGCTATGATTCTGGTATCATGTTTAAAACAAGTTCTTATCTCTTAGAGGTACATTTTTAAGTATTTATGGATGAAATGATATGAAATCTGGAATTTCCTTTAAAATAATGAAGTAGGTAGGAGTCACATGAAAAAGACTGGCCATGGTTGATTGTTGATGGAGCTGTGTGGTTCAGTATAGGGGTGCATTATATCAAATTCTTCATGTTTTGTTTGTTTGAAATTTTGTATAACAGAATTGTTTTTAATTTCCCAGGGATGAGAACCATGACTTACATATATTTTATAAATATCCTTTGGATATATTCAATCATTAATTAAAAAAAAATTAAAAAGTGAATTCAGCACTGCCAACAGATTTGATACAACTTCTTAGATAATTTGGATACTTCTCATATCTATGTTGTAGGGGAAATCCATGGTAGTTTCATCTTTGAAGACATTTTAAATACATTTTAAAATGCAGTGTGCAGGAAGAAAAAATTATGTAGACTCACTGCTAAAACATCATATAGCAAATCATTTCACTGGTATGAGAAACCCTCAAAACTCCCCACCCCATCTTCTTGCCAAGACTGATCCTTGAGTCCAAACTCAGCCTCCTCCTAGGATTCCAACACTAACAGCAGTTTGGAACACAATTTCCTGTCTCAATTTCCCTGCTGTGTGCCCACTGGAGTGCACGTCATTCGCTTCAGAACAGGGACCTCATTATCTTTACTTTATGTGCATCATCCTACCTGGCCCGTGCAAGACTCCTGCTCGATAAACAGCATTTCGCCAGCTCCTGCCTGCCTCCCTGGCTTATGGTGAGGCTTAAAGTAAAAGCCCTGTAAATTGAATGTCTAATTGCACTAGATCCTCTGCCTCAAGTAAAAAAGCAGGCAGGTCTCATCTTTTGAAAGAGGCTTCTCTGAGTGGAGGAGAAGACTCCTTCGCTCATTCACTCCAGTACTACTAGCAAATGGAGTGTTCCTTGGTTTCTTCACTCACTAGCTGGGCCTCCCCAGCTAGATAGATATTAGGAATAAAAAAGAGGCTAGACAAGGAGGTCAACACCCTGGCTTGGTGCCCATCACACTGGTCACACCGGCACACCGTGGCTGTCTCCAAGGGGACATATTACTCAGAGAATATTTTGGCATAAACTCAGTCATTTCAGTTAATTCAGGAGGGGCATGCACGAGATCCTGGGAGGCAGGTACGTCATGTCTAAAGGACACAAAATAATGGAGATTTTTCTGTGTGGCCTCACCCAATGTAAGGTATCTTCTTAAGTAGCTCGAACACTAGCTGGAAATACTACAAATCTCAACCTCCCTTATCCCTTTGCTCTTGACAACCTAACAGGAGTTAGAGAACTTTTTTTTTTTTAATCTCTGCTTCTTTTGCCCTTCCATAGTCAAAACAAAACAAAATAATGGATTATTATGCTTCACAGGGGCATGGAATAATTTTAGTTCAATTTGAGATTGGTGTTTTTTACATGTCAGTATGTTATTTTAAATTCATTTCTCTGTGCAGATCAAGAAACAAAAGAGGTTTTGAAAAGAATTCCAAAGCTGCTGAATACACCGGTAATACTGGGTGGATTTTTAAAAAGCCACAATAGTACTAGGCTTATCGGGGGAATCCTGTCATAAGTTATATAAATGTATAACCACTATGCTGTACGCCTAAAACTAACATGATATTGAATGCCAAATATAATTGAAAAAAAAAAGCCACAATTGAGAGGTGGTCTACATATCCTGTTTTTTAGCTGTTCAGATAAATTTTTGTTATTTTTTTCTTTGTCTGGCAGACCTTTGTTTTCTACCTGGTATAAAGATTAATTCAAGAGTTTAACACCCAGGACCAGCTGAAAGACAATTTTGCATTTTAATATGTTTAAGTCCCTCCATTTCTTTCCTTCCTGCACCTGTGACAGCTCCATTGCTCATTCCCTCCTGTCGTGACTCTGGACAAGTTCTCCCATCCCTCCTAGAATGCAAGTGTACAATTTAGTCAACCCTGGTTCACGGG